GTGGGGGGGGGGGGCGGCCCTGCCGGCCTGGGGGTTCCTTTTCCAAAGCCATCCTTTCCTCCGGCCCGCCCTGGGCGCAGGGACGCGTATCCCACGTGCGAGGTGGTGGAGGTCCAGCTGTGCTACAACGTGGCCAAGCTGATCTACCTGTGCAAGGAGAGGTACGGTGCGCGCGCACGTGTGTGTGTGTGTGTGTGTGTGTGTGGGAAGCGTGCATCTGTGTGGGGAGAAGTGTGTATGCATGCACAGGGAAGCATGCATGCATGGGGGGGAAGCGGGCATGCATGCACGGGGAAGTGGATGTGTGTGTGTGGATTAGCAGGCGTGCACAGGCAAGTGGGCGTGCATGCGTGGGGGGGAAGCGGGCATGTGTGTGTGTGTGAGTGGGCGTGCACAGGCAAGTGGGTGTGCAGGTGTGGGCGGGTGAGCGTGCACGTGTGTGGGGGGAGAAGCGTGCATGCATGCGTGGGGGGGAAGCGGGCATGTGTGTGTATGCACGTGTGTGTGGGAGAAGCGTGCATTCATGCACAGGGAAGTGGGCGTGTGTGTGCGGGTGAGCGGGCGTGCACAGGCAAGTGAGCATGCGTGGAAAGTGGGTGTGCATGTGTAAGCGGGTGAGCGGGCGTGTGTGTGCGTGAGCGGGGGTGTGTGCACGGGGAAGTGAGCAGGCATGCACAGGCAAGTGGGCGTGTGTGTGTGTGAGCAGGGGTGTGTGCACGGGGAAGCAGCCGTGCGTGGGTGACCGGGCACGTGCCTTCTGACCCTCCCCCCTGAGAAGCCCCCTCCTTCCTTGGTGGCCTCCAGCTTGTCCAGAGCGCTGGCCCCCGTCTGGGTGACGGAGCGTTGAATGGAGGGTGCGGGGCCCGTGGCGTGGATTGAGAGCCTGACGTCCCCCTCCCCTCCTCCGCCTGCAGGAAGAAGACGGAGAAGAGCCTGACCTACTACACCAACCTGCAGGTGAAGACGGGCCAGCGGGCCCTCATCAACCCCAAGCCCTGCGGCCAGTTCTGCTGCTTCGAAGTGCGGGGCTGTGAGCAGGTGAGGCCCCCCTCCCCCCGGGCCGGGCGCCGGGGTCCCCGCCACCCGCACGGGGCCACGCATCACAGGGACATGCCCTCTGGCAGGAGGACGCCATCGCCTACTACACGGGCATGAAGGACCGGCTGATGGAGAGGATCACGGAGGAGGAGTCCAGGGTCCAGTTCCAGCCCCTGGGCATGGCCTTCGTCACCTTCCAGGAGAAGTCCATGGCCATCTAGTGAGTGTCCTGGCCTCCCGGGCGGGCTCTGGGCCCCGTCCGGATGCCCCGCTGGCCCTCCTGGGGAGAGACGGTACCGCCGAGTCACATCGCTGGGGGCTGCCGGGGGCGTGTCCCTCTGCCTCCCGGGTCTGGCTGGGGAGGCGGCACCCCGCTTACCCCTCGGGGAGCCCAGCCCGTGTGTGTGGGACCGCGGGGCTCGGGTGACTCTAGCTGAGACCCTCTCTGGGGGCTGTGGCCTTGCCCGGCGGTGGGGCTCGCACCAGCTGCCCCAGGGGCCCATCGGCTCTGTGTCCCAGCATCCTAATGGATGCCACCCTCCTTCAGGGAGCCGCTCTGCACCCCACATCCTGCTTCTGTGCAGGGGCTCCCCGTCTTCCTACAAATGGGCACTCGGGGCGCTCACTGCTGCAGGCAGCCTGGCCCTGGGGAGGGGGTTTGCACGAAGGACTTTGGCCTGCCAGCGGTCAGGCTCATGAAGGTCTCCCGTGCCTGGGGCCTTGGCATCCCAGCATCCCCGAGCCTTGGGAGCCGCAGGGGGGGTGTGGGGTGGGGTCAAGAGATGGGCACTTTATGGGAGACAAAGGGGGAAAGAGGAGGAGCTGGCGAGGGTGGAGGTGGGGTCCGAGGGAGGGAAATCTTGGATCAGAACGGAGCCCGTCTCCTGTATGTGTTCTGATAGCGACTCTGGGGCCTGGGAAGTAAGCGAGAGTCTTGAAGGGTGAAGCCA